CTGGGGGATTCTGGGAGTTGAAGTCCACCCATCTTAAAGTTGCCAAGGTTGAGAAACACTGAGTTAGATCTTCCAAAAGTTAAAAAAGGGAGGAAAAAAATCATTATTTAAATATGCCAGGTCTACTGGTTAGAAATGGCCAGCAGCTGCTTTTAAGAGGTACGTTTCCTCTCCTCAACTCACTTTCTGAAAAAAAGCATCATTTGTGCTTGAGGACTCACAGAGCTCCTCTCCAGCAATAAGGGATTTCAAGCTCAGGAAGTGATTTTGGAAAATGCCACAAATCATGGAATGTATTGGTGGAAGAAAGGACAAGAGTATTTGGTGCCAAATTCCTAAAATACAAAGTGCCTTGAGGGGAAGCCACGAGTAAAGATGCGAAGTCAGAGTAACATCAGCCATCATGACTACCCCTTTCGAAATTCCAGAATAGGCTTCCTTTGAAGTGATGAAATCTACCATCCAGAGGAACCATCTCCCATCTTCTGTCCACCCCTCTAAAAAAACGCTCATCTATTTAAAAGGTGAGCCAAGGTAGTAAAGAATCCATCAGTGCCTTGAACACGAGGTGGGACATTGGCAGGGTAGATCTCCATTACACAGGAATATCCGGCTGAGACCATCAGCAAGTTAAGTAAAAACATAACATCAGGGAGTAACTGATGTTTATACAGAACTGGGAAAACCAAAAAACGAGCGCCGAAGCTAAAAACGAAGGAGAAAATGGTCCAAATCCAGGTGTGCTATTTCCACACCTGGGAACTGAGGGCTTGATTGGTTCCTGGGGCACCCCCTCTGCCCATCGACTGTCCATAGCGCATCACCCCATTTGTGCCACAGAAGTTCATCCCTGCCATTTGCTGCGTTACCTGAAGGAGAAGGCAAGGAGATGTCAGGTCAGTTCTTCTTACACCCATCTCTCAAGTTTCCCTGTTGCAAATGAGATTTTCAGCTGCTTTCTATACCCAATGACACCTTTCACACCCTCACTGTATTGGGGACTATCAGCCACCCGGTGGCCATTTATGGTACTTTGACACTTGAAGATGCTGCATGATTTTATCCTTGATACGACAGCACAATTGTTAAGGGGGGAAAAGTTTTTTTTTTTTAAATTCTACATTATGTTGGAAACTAACATGAGGGTAATCAATGCCAAAGCCTTGCCCAAGAAGTGTGCAAACAGTGCTGGAGAACATTAGTGGGAGCTGAAACCAAACACATCTAGAAGGCATGAGGTGCTAGAAGGGCTGAGAATCTGATAATATCTATCAGGACTCAAGAATGAAGATAACATCTTGGCTGATGTTTGAGAGACACAGAAGCTTTCTAACAAAGATAACCTTGAAAGAAACCTGGAGGTGTGCAGAAGAATCAAACATTCTCCCTTCCCACTATGAAACTTAGGTGGAAAAAGATTTGAAAAACTACATAATGAATCCTGATTAATCCAAAGCATCCATGTGTCCATTATAGGAAGCGCTGACCTCATGAGCTGCTTTGTCATATTCATACAACATGTGGAGCCAGGTCACCAATTTACCAGGGAACTAGAGTTCCCTCACACCCCAGTGGTTCTAAGTGACTCACCCCAGAGCTATGAGATGCTCTTTTTGGAAATGCTGAGATTTGACTGGAGTTTGGTTTAGCATACTTAGGAGAGAGGGTTATAACCATTTATGTTAGGAGTATAAAACAATGGATTTTTCAGCTAATTTAATAATTCAGGTAGTTTGTGAAGGCACAACAGCAATGCTGAGAGCAGGCTTTCGGTGCTGTGGTTGCCACTAAAGAAAGTAGCTCTAAGGGTGTGGAATCTGGAGGGCATCAGAGAAGAGGTCTGGGGAAGTACTGGTGCCCATGAGCATCGTGTTAAAATTAAGTCCATGTGCATATTATCCTCTATGGGGCAGCTTTTTGAAATGGAAATTCCACCTCCATCAAGTTCATTTATTTCAGTTATTTAAATGTATGGGCTACATCTTCAAAAATTGCTGATACACAGAGAATATAAAGATGATAGGAATTCAGAAAATAAGTTCCTCATCTTTTGATCAAATGATCCACAAAGTGGCTTACAAAGAATTTTGGAAACACTTTTTGTTGCTGTTGTTCTTTCAGCATCTATCACTTTCACCTTCTCTCTTTATACCCCCACTCTCCACTATTATGATTATCAGATCAAACTCTTTGAGAAAAAGGATAGGATAAAAGCTTCTACATCAGGACTAACAACTTGATACCGCTATTTTTTCAATACATTACTACCAATTTCCTCAAGTTCATTGCCCAGTCATGCGGACTTGGAAGGCATGAGGTTGTCTACCTGTAATCTATAAATGCACAGTCTTTTTCCAAGGTTTGAAAGAGACCTCACCCAGACGCACCTGAGTTCTCACCATTGGCTCTTACCTGAGCAAGGTTCCACTGTAATTGGTGAGCTGGTTGTACGACGTACACTGGTGGTGGAACAGGTGCCATGCCAGCCATGTACCCAGCTTGCTGGGTTGCCATCATCCCATTGGGGACCCCAATGACTGCTGTCTGCATGCCACCTACATAACCCGCTGGGATCGCCATAGGTGTGGCCATGCCTGCTGCTGCTCCTGGCTGAGCCATCACCCCAACTGGTGGTGCCATCATGCCACTAGGTGGTGCCATGCCTGGGAAATTGGGATATGCGGCAGGATAGCCCATTTGGGTTGGCGCTAGGAACACAGCTCCTAAGGAGATGTTAAGAAGGGGATTAGTGCTAAAGAGAGAGATGAAAATGATCAGGAAGATGTCATCTTCTGCCCTAAAAGCTCTCTTAATCTACCTAATAAACAGGTCATTCAATATCCTTTATGTGTCCTACTGAGAGCAACAACTCAGAAATGTTGTTGGGGGGAGCAATGGGGAGAACCTTTCCATCCTCAGCAACTGGGGCTAAATTCAGACAAAGGCTGAATTTTAGGAAAGTTCAGACAAAGATGAATGAAGCATTCCTGATTCCAATCCAGGGGAGTCTTTGGGAGGGGAGAATGGGGTAGAGTCTGGAAAGAGGGGGGAAGGCCTGCAATAATGGAGACAGGAGTTGGGAAAGTGAGCAGTCAGCAGAGGGACAGAAGACTTGAACCGCTCCTGCACCTCCAGTGGGAAATTCGTTAGTATCAGACTGGGGCTGGAGGAAGAGGAGACTCAGTGCCCTATTTTAGCATGAAATCCATCATGAGATCATGGGCTTCTCAACTTCATTCATCCTGGACATGTGGGCCAGTCACTTGACAGAAGAGTGTGATAAAAGTGCCCTTCAGCCCTCATTACAGACCTTTCCAGTAAAATCT